CCACACCTGGAAGCAATTTTCAGACGGATCGTCCAGAGGACGTTCGATATTTCTATGTCTGGATGGCGTCCAAAACGAGATATATATCCAATTCTTATATGAAGCCCCCGGGAATTCAACACGCCAGCGGGTCATCTCGTAAACGCGGCAATGGACACAGGAACGGATTGGTCTTGGATCAACCAGGGCGTCCTTAAAGCAGCAAAGGTTGGCACCGTTCGTTTGTGCGTCGATGGAGGTTTACGTAAGAAGCGTCATGGCGAACACCAGGGAGGATTAGGCTGTGCATCTTTTTTTTGCGTTAGCCAGGTACGCATCCAGTGGCAGCAGCGGTATCTGGCCCTAGGGGTCCGCGCGAGACGCCATGCACGGCTGCCTTTCTACAGGCGCCAGCTGTGGCGAACACCATGGTGTGCCCTTACCGAAAGAAAGAAAGATGATGATGATGATGCTGATGACTATGATGCTGATGAAGAATACGACGGGTGATCATACTGACAATAACATTTATTTTACTACTATGCTGATACTGAATACGATGATGATGTTGCTGGTATTGATGATGTTGATGATGATGATGGTGATAGTGCTGCTGATGATGCTGATGATGTTGATGATGATGCTGGTGATGATGGATATGACAACAACGATGGTGATGGTGCTATTGAGGATGATGCTGCTGCTGATGATGATGATGTCGATGATGCTGCTGATGATGATGACGATGATGACGATGATGATACTGATGGTGCTGATGATGATGATGGTGTTGATGCTGCTGGTAGTGATGATGCTGATTATGATGACGATGCTGCAGCTGATGATGACGATGCTGATGCTGACTATGACGATGCTGATGATGATGCTGATGAGGATGTTGATGCCGATGATGATGACGGTGACGATGCTGATGATGTTAATGATGATGATGACGATGATGATGAGGAGGGTGATCCTGATGCTGATGCTGATGATGATGGTGATGGTGATGACGATGATTCTGATGGTGGTGCTGTTGATGATGCTGCTGATAATGCTGCTTATGATGATGCTGATACTACTGCTGATGATGATGATAGGTGATGATGATGATGGTGATGATGATGGTGGTGATGATGAGGATGATGATGATGATTGCTGATGGTGATGCTGCTGATGATGATGATGATGATGAGGATAAGGATGAGGATGATGATGATGCTGATGTTGATGATGTAAATGATGATGGTGATGATGCTGATGATGATGATAATAACGATGATGATGCTGATGATGATGATTATGATGATGATGCTGATTATGATGATGCTGATGATTATCATGCTGCTTATGATGATGATGCTGATGTTGATGATGATGATGACGATCATGATGATGATGCTGCTGATGATGATGCTCATGATGATGCTGATGATGATGATGGTGATGATTATGATGATTATGATTATGATGCTGATGATGATGATGATGATGATGATGATGTTGATGATGCTGATGATGATGATGGTTGTGGTGGTGGTGGTGATGATGATGATGGTGATGATGATGATGGTGGTGATGCTGATGATGATGATGATGATGGTGATGATGATGATGATGATGATGATGATGATGATGCTGATGATGACGATGATGCTGATGATGCTGATGATGCTGATGATGATGATGATGATGATGATGATGATGATGATGTTATGATGATGATGATGATGATGATGATGATGATGATGATGATGATGATGATGATGATGATGATGATGGCAACTAAGATGTTGCTGCTGCTGAGGAGGATGAGGAGGAGGATGCTGAGGAGGAGGAGGAGGAGCAGGAGCAGGAACAGGATCAGGAGCATGAGCAGGAGGAAGAGCAGGAGGAGGAGGAGGAGGAGGAGGAGGAGGTGAGGAGGAGGAGGAGGAGGAGGTGGAGGGGGAGGGCTTCCGATCACGACGGGCGCGGTGGAATTCCGCTTGACCTGCTGTGCTGTCTGGCCTTGGGCACAGAGGCAGCTCCAGGGCCGCTTCGCGCCCATGGCATGAGCTGCTGCGGTGTCGAGCCTGCGGTGCGGCAGCGCGACGCTGGACGCTGCGCACCTCGGCCGCTGCACCAGTGCGCCCCAGGCAGCGCGGGACGCCGCGGCGGGCACGCCCTGGGAGGGCGCGGCGGCCGCGGAGCTGGCGCGGCGCTGCGCTTGGGGCCGATGTCGGCGCGGCTCGCAGACGTGGCCGCGGGGGGGGGGGAAGCGGGCCCCCAAGGGTCTGAAGCTGCCGGAGCTACCCCCGTCTGGCAGCCACGGTGTGGCGGTAGGCGGGTGACTCCCACGCTGGGGTGGGGGGGGGGGGCTGAGCGGTTGGATGGTTTCCCGCGACTGCCCTTCCTGTCGCGAGAGGGAGGGCGCTCGGACCCGCTTCAGCAGACGAGATCGGGAGGCCGAGGGAGGAGGGGGGGTCCGCTGTACCGGCCGAGCTTGTTTTTGACGGCAAATCAGTCTTTTCCGCTGTGG